AAATCTCTGTAAATGTTCATTAAAACTAAAAAAATTTTATAATTTAAAAAAAAAAAAAGCCACACTTGCAGTGTGAAAAGATCTTTATTATGAAATTAAAAAAAAAAAACACACCACAAAGTCTTGCACAGCTGGTAAGATTAGTGTTTCTGCTCTGAGAGGTTAAGGGTAGCAACCTTTCTGGCATATTCTAATTCATGAGTTCCCAGCAGCCAATGAAACTGCCTTTAAGATGTGAGATCTTTGTGTAACTTCTTTTGTCCAGCCCAATGGCAATATGAAAATATCTAGTTTGACTTTTAAAATACAGCAGCTTTTCAAGAGTAACTAGCTCTGGAAAACTGTATCCAGAATTCTTGTTTAAGTCCATATTTTATACTTTTAAAATGTATTTATTGTTAGAATTAATCTTTCTAATAAACATACTGTAAGAAAATTATTAATACATTTACTCATCAGAAAATCAAGTGGAATACCAGATTCTTTTTTCTCTCTCTTTACAAAGGCAATATGACTAACCATTACACTTTATTTCTATTTACCAATTCATTTACAGAGAATATTCAATAATAACTCACAATTTATAATACTGTACATTAAATTATAAGTAATATATAACCCCTGCTACAAAAGTTATGTATACTAACCTGCCCCAGAATAAAAATTCTCTATAGTTTAAATACATTAGAAATTTAAAGAAAGGAAAAAAAAAAAGTAAATCAGAAAAACGTTGAGTGCAGCAAAGCTAAAAGAATTCTCCAACATCAGCTCTCTTATCGCGACATTTGCTCCGAGCTTTTGTCCGGGCTTTGAAGGCTGCAGAGTTATAGAGATGCTGGAATGAAGAGAAAAGGATGTTAAAAATCACCCCATATTAGGAATGTCTGTCAAGCAAGTAAATGAAAAGAATATGAATTCATCAAATAGTCAGTAAAAAATGATGCATGTTTTAAGGTAGCATTTTACCAAGTATTACTTGATTTTCAGATAATATGACTACTAAATAAAGATTACATATTTGCATTTACATGCTTTAAAAATATCAAATCCACCAGATGCTCTGCTGGAGAAGGAGGGGACAATCTCCTCCTGTACCAGTCAGATCTGATTTGACGGTACACATAAAAATAATACAATAAAAATTAAAAAAAAAATTAATAATTTAAAATTTTAAAAATAAAACCAAAACCTACCCTTTCGAAACGAGAAATCTTCATTGTTTTAAGAGTTGCAGCATCAAGCATCACTGGGGGACCAAGTTCAAACACATTGCGAAGGAATTCATTTGACTAATGAAAACAAAAAACAAGTGAGAAGGTTCAGTATTAAGTAACACAGCTGTCTGCACTACAAAAAGTATATTTTATAATTTATGCATAAATATTTCATAATTTATGTGGAATCAGCAAGTAAGACATTAGATTACTTATTTTTTTTTATCAGTACAAGATCAAATTATTTTCTAAAGCCTCAAATGAAAAAGAAAAATATGCTATTTTATTTCATATAAAGTTTCAAAAGCTAAAGTCTACTCCACAGGCATGTATATGTATATAACAAAAAAAGAAGGTCTACATTCATGAAATGTTACTTTAAAAAAAATTTTACATTTTTACATCTAGCCGACAGCACTCTGCATATTATAACCACAAAAGTTAATTACAGCCAAAACTGCTCATTGCTGTATGAAAAAGCTGTCACTCACCTGCAAATGGTACTGCATCCCCGACCCAAGAACCTCCTTAAAGATATCATAGGTGTGTTTTTTGACCCAGCAATCAATATACATGCGTTCTGGACCAAATTTAACCGTTTCTGTTGGAAAGTCCCGTTCCTATGCAAAAAAATAAAAATTACAAGCTGCACAGAAATGGCCTAAAAAAGATCTTACGTAACTTACCAATAGATACACAAATGTTAAGATAAGTGAATAAGGTATAAACTGCTACCTCCATATTAAAGTCATGAACACACTCACAGGTCCTCCTCTTTATGCTAGTTTGCAGGATTTTTCTAGGTGTGGTAGGATGGACCACTGAGTCAGGCTAAATATTATCAGCAAACTACTGCTGTAATTATTTTTTTAAAAAAATTCAATTTTATACATAATAAACTTGAATAAGAATCAAGCATCTGTATCAGTCTAGGATGTAAAATGTTGACAGCACAGGCCAGAAAGACAAGCATGACAGGACAGGCAACAAGGATTTATTGATCAAAGTGAACACAGCAAAACAAGAGGAGAGATCTAGCAACTAGTAGTCTAAAGGCAGGTTTATTTAAAAAATGAGAGGTAGCATGACAGTTTAGATTTCAGGGATGGAAGAAACCTGCCAGAATCAATGTCGAAGGTATAATCATAACCATGACAGTGTGAAATTGGAACAGAACATATGGCTTTCCAAATGGATAGAAGCCATCCAGAATGATAGGCTGGCAGAACTTGGTATGAAAAAAGTGTTACTTATATATAAGTAGATTCAGTAAACTTTTGCTATGAGACCTTCTGCTGAGGTGGTGATGTCAAACGTTTATTCCAAGTCGGTAGGTTTTCCTTTCACCTCATTGGAAAAAGTTTTTGAGGAGCACAGAGATTTAATCTTTAGACAAGGGTCTCATAACAAAAGTTTACAGAATACTCCTGAGCCTCAGAAGAAAAAGTCTGATAACTCAATTACAAAATGGGCAAAAGACATTCAAAGACTATTCAAAGAGGAAGACATCAGATGTCCAACAGACACATGAAAAAATATGCTCAAAATTACTGGCAGTAAGAGATGCATATCAAAACCACAATAAGATATCATCTCATCCCAGTAGCAGTGGCAAAACTTATTATCAGGGCAGCAAGCAATAAATGATGGAGAGGATGTGGAGAGGTGGGAAAGCTCATATACTGCTGGTGGGATTATTAAATGGTACAACCACTCTGGAAGACAGTTTGGTGTTTCCTCACAAAGTTGAACTTAGAAACTCCATAAGACCCAGCTAGTCCACTACTAGGAATATACCTCGAAGAAATTAGAACTGAGACACAAATGGAGATTTATTCACTAGTGTTCACGGCAGCGTTAGTCACCATCACAAAATGTCCAACCACAACATGGACTGAGAAACTGTGGTACATTCACACAACAGAATACTATGCAGCACTCAGGAGCAATGATTTAAAAAAATATCACATAACTTGGGTAACACTGGAGAGCATTATACTGAGTGAACTAATTCAGTCTCATAAAGACAAAAAAAACTGCCTAAGCCCATTATTGTAAAAACAGAAGGATAACCAATAAAACACATAAGGGAACCCAAAGCAAAGGGAAAGAGGGGGGAGGGGTGGGGGCCGAGGGGTGAGGATAGGTAAGGGAGAAACCAGGGGGTTGCAGTTTGGTGGGTAGAAGGAGAGAGGGATGGATCCGGGTGAAAAGACAGGGTAATGATGGGCAAGGAGGTCCTAAAGCCTGAGAATGATTGTATGAAACAAAATAAGAATGAAGAATAGTGGGAAACACAAAGGATATGAACTCTGTAAGCAAAATGAATTTTTTTTTAAAAAAAGTAGATTCAAAGAAGAAATTAAGCGTCATGGATCTGGAGACCGGAAGAGTTACATGGAACCTAAGTACCACACCTGAACACTGTAACCAGGGACACAACGTTGTTAGGTGCTATTCTGTCAAATGTGACTCCTAACAACTTTATGAACAACAAATCTGAGCTCTGCCCGATTCCTGCACCACCTTCACCATCTCTGATATACATGTTACAGCTGCTATGTCAATCCACCTTGCTGAGGGACCCAATAGATGGCACTTAAATAGTATGGGAGAGTAACTTAGAACTCAAATTCTTAACAAAAGATCAGAACTATTGGACCACCAGAGACTAGAACTCCTCCCAAGGTTATTACTGTAAGATAATCTTTAAAATTTTGACCAAACATACTTAGAAGTCACCTGTTAGCTAAACGGTAGGCACCTAAAATATATACTACTATCTGTGAACACTGTTCCTTTAAAAAACCATCTGAGACCACAAAGTCAATCTTCAAAGATGAGGAAGCAGTGGAGAAAGGGATGCCAGATTATCAAAGACAAAAACAAAAAAGAAAAGAGAATGTTGACATTCAGAAAAATATAACAAGTCCCTAAACAATGTTATGCACAGAAATTGTTAAATGGTCTAAGTACAAGTCTACCAGAAAGAGAATGGTATAATTCAAAGGAAAAAAAATGATTATTCAATTTTTGATGAGTCATAAATATGGAAGATCAATGAAAAGGGGGGTAGTAGTAGTCCTAAGGATGTTAGAAAGCTGAGTGTTAAAACGGGCCTATGTTTGCTAGCCCTGTCAGGTCTCGTCCTTTACCATTCGTTACCCAAAAGAGATGTATTAGGATAGAAAATCTGAAACGGGTCTGATACGGAAAATTAAGACTATGTTGTGATCTCAGCTTTGTTGGCTTTAATATTCCAAAACTCCAAATTCACAATTACCTGAAAAAAACAGCTTGCCTAATTTGGGGCTACTTCCAAACAAATTATCAGGGTAAATTCTTAATTTTTAATGTCCAATCAAGTTAGGGGTCTTAGTTTTTTAGGATTATAAAACCCAAAGTAAACATAAAATAGTCTTATAATCAACTAGATGTAGAATAACTAGAATATACTGATTCTAGAGATTCTCTGAACCGACTTTTAGCCTCTGTTTTAGTTTTTTAAAACAGATTAAAAGGAAAAAAGTTGTTCTTAAGCCAGAAACATGTAAGAATAACTGGAAAAATTAAAAAGTGGACCTGGGGTGTGGGGCTTAGCATCTCTTTTAAAATTCTCAGTCTAAATTTTCATACAAACCTCAGCTTGAAAATCACTAGACTCATGAATTGCCATGTCAGATAATAAAAATATGAGAAAAACTTTGAATCCAAGAAGTATTTCTCAGCTGGCAAAAAAAGGTGTGTACACACATTGACATACACTCCTACATACACGGCAACCTTCCTCCCAAGTTCATTTTAGCCAGAAATTCTGTTCCCTGAAGGTTTTTAAATGAGTTCATTTGTTCTGTATACTGAAACAGCAGTTAAAGGACTGCAGAAGGAATTCAATCAATCATATCATGACTTTAAGTGGCCTTGCACAAATGCTGGGATTTGTTATTTCAGCTCTGAGCACTTCGTGTTCCTAGGAAGAATATACAGGTCTTTGTTTAACAGTAATAAATGTCAAACCATACAACAGGAGGTAGGCAGCGATTACCTTCACACACACACACTCTCTCTCTCTCTCACTCACTCTCTCTTGCACAGCCCCCATATCAAATATGTATGTGCTAAGCATAATTATTTACATGATCCCAAGGGCACAGAGGAGAAATACATTTTCTCACTCATGATCTTTTTCATTCTATCCAAAAAACAAAAACTTCTCTGTACATCAGTATTAAATCTTCCCATGTTTAAAAATAGGAAATCTCCATTCATGTTCTTACAGATCATGCTCAGTGAATTTCTGTCAAGTGTAATGGAAAAGTTTGTAAACATACAATAAGGATGGTAGGCAAAATGATCAATTAATATCATTGAGTTGTACATGAAAAAATAAAACTTTGTTGGCTAAGTGAGAAAATAATGTTTATCAAAAGTGAAGCTCAACCAACAGACTGAATGATCCAGCTGTCAAGAGTCAACGACCACACCAGCAACTATCAAAGCCTCTGGGAAGCCTACCTCCACCGCCCTCAGCACATCTCTGAACACCGACCGCTGCTTCCTCTTGTCCACTTTGGCCCGGTGCTTATTTCCATCTGTAGCCAACTCTCGCAGCATCTGAGTCAAAGACTCCATGTCTTCATAAAAAAAGTCCTGGTCAAGAGAAACAAATTTTGTCTGGTTGTTTTTTTTCCAGCCTCTTTTAGAGCTAATATGAAACAGTTTCCCTTGGAAATAACCCAGCCGTGCTGCAGACATCACAACTCTTCAAGCTGTCTAGACTTGGCATGCAAGGACACAAAGACACGTGGAACATTACACATAAATTCAAGGCAGAAATGCTGACTGCAAAATGACATCCTACTGCAGAGCAGTTACTGTTCCCCTTCCAAGCACGTCCAGATGATGTACAAATACTTACTGTACAGAAACATTAGTGGAATTTCCAACATGTTCAGTGAGTAGGTCTATCTGCTTCAAGATAGCATCAACCCTTTTGTTTCTCAGTCTCAAACTCTTCATGCCTTTTTGTTGTTGACTGCTGTCGAGTCGCGCATGACTCATAGCAACTCTTTGAACAAAAGACCTGAGGCCTTTTTTTTGAGGCCTTTCTATAACTATCATTTCTTCAAGTTCATAGAGTTTCCAGAGGCACGTGGTTTAGGAAGTGGATGCCACTCCTGCTTCCCAACCTTTCTGAAAACTGGGAACTCCACCAAACGCTGTCCACCATAGGCAGCCATTATGACATTTGAGACCCCAATGGTACAAGGTTCAGCATCACAGCAAACCGACAGAATGCTGTACAACCTAGAAGAATGTTCTTCCAAACTATAGTAGCAAAGGATTAAAATATAATCCTTAGACGTGATTTATTAAATATAAGGGCCCTCCAGGAGGTTTTGTGGACTCTAAACAAGAGGTTTTAGAAATCCAATTGTTCTAATTGCAAAAAATATAGTTTAACGTGTAACAATTCCTAACTTACTGGCCAGACTTCAAATAAGCAATAATAAAGTTTATCAGGTACACAAATAAGATTAAACTATTTAAAGATACAGGAAGCCCTGGTGACACCAGTGTTAAGTGCTCTAACTAAAAGGCTAGCAGCCCGGACATGTCCCACTGCTCCATGGGAGAAAGAATGACTCATCCACTGCCATTAAAACTAAAGCCTAGGAAACGCTCCAGGCTGTTCTGCTCCGTTACATACATGGGCCGCTCTCAGTCAGAATCGGTTCACTGGCACTTGAGAGGACACCTACACAGTTAAGGTTTCTTTCTGTTGGATATTTTTATTATATGACTACATTTTCAGATTACATTAAAATGAAGACAGTTCAAAGTAACGTAACTGACATAAAAAGCTACTTTAACTAAGCAAGGTTACAGAGCAGACATTTCTAAGAAACCCTCACACCAAGAAACCATTATACCACTTCCACATGTATGGAAGTACACTTCAGGACTAGTAGTCTCCAGTGGCCTAGTGGTAAGGAGCGGCACTGTCATCTCAAAGGCGTATAGTTAGAACCTCTAGTCTCTCTATGGAAGAAAGATGAGCAGTCTCCTCCCTTATCATTTATTGCCTCTGAAACCCTGCTGAAGTGTAGGTTCCAAGTTATATTAACAACAACAACAAAGTTTCTTACAAAGGGAACTCTAGTGGCCTAGGGTTAATGAGTTGCCAAGCAAACACAAAGGCACGCTGTTCAAATTCACCAGCTGCTCCACAGAAAGATAGGGAATCTCCTGCCATGTGATATACTGCCTCTCAAAGTCCACTGGAGTCATGAGGAGGTTCCAACTCGATGGTATCAACACTGGCGAGAAACCAAGGATGCTGCTAATATTCTACAATGTGTAAGACAGCTGCTCCCGACAAAATGTTAGCAGTGGATTAAATTCAATCTAAATTACAGTCTAGGAATCCCTGAATTCTATATAGAAACTTTGAGAGAAAAATAACTTTCTGAGGAAGGCTTCAAAAGGCCTTTTATTATACTCTCTCCCTTTCTAAAAACAAATCTCAGCTACTGAGCTACAAGAAGTCATCTATAAATAGCAACCAAAACTCAAATTATTGGGAGGTTTTCTGGGACAAATGGGCCATTGGCCCCCGGAGACAAAAATGAATACCTTCATTCTTATTAGTAAGAAAAGAAAATCCAACAGGCCTGGCTCCATAAAGAATTAGAAAATTTTGGCTTAGAATTCCAACCTACTACTCATTATAGCGGGCTTGTTGTTGTTATGTGCTGTCGAGTCACTTGCAACTCATAGCAACCCTATGTACAACAACCCTAAACTCTGTTCTGTCCTGTGCCAATCGCACTGTCTCTGACACTCCCATCCCGATTACCCCAGTCACTGAATCAATCCACCTCATAGAGGGTCTTCCC